CATTTAGGAGAATTAGCACAAATTGGAGTTGTTGAACATAGAGGAGATGGATGGACAATGAACAAAGCTAAAGAATATTGTCAAAAGTTTAAAGGACAAAAGAAAGAAATGTGTTTTAAAGAAGCATTTGATATGTTTACATCAGTAGCACATACTTTTGATCCATTAAAATTTGATGCAAAAGCAGTTTGCAAAAGATTCAATCATTGCTAAAAAAAATGTTATTTGAAACAAATATTATTTTATTTTTTTTTTTTAAAAACTTTTAGTTATAAAAACAATTCATTTATTGACTTTTTTTATAATCTCTATATGTTTGTAACAATTCATTTATTACCATAGATTCTTGAGGTGATAAATCAGATACAAATCTAAGTAATTGTGGAATTCTTTGTGTTTGAGGAAGTGACAAATAAATATTTAATGTTTCAACTAATGGATATGTTAATGGGTTAGTTGATGATTGTTGAGATAATTCTTTAAGAATGGTTTGTTGATATTGTAATGTTTGAATAATATTTTCTTTTTCACTTTCAGTTAATTCTCTTTGTGAGATTTTAGGTAATGGTGGTGAATCTCTTTTTAATGAACATGGAAGACGAGGTGGTTTTGTTTGTTGTGTACTTGTACTAAGTCTTGAAGGAGTAGTTTGAAATAATGTAGTACTTTTGGTTATTCTTACTTTTTTCTTTCCACTATCTGCTTTTGAAATAACTCTTAATGGTTCACTATAAAGTGTTTCTATTTTTTCTCTTTGTGGATTATATAAATCAAATTTTATTCTAAATAACATATCTTCATGTTGAGATGATAAAACAAGTATACGTAATTCAACATTCATTGAATTGTGATCACTAACTTGACTATTAAAAGTAATTGGTTTTTGATTAATAAAATGTACTGCTGACATATCTGGATTATCATATAATAACGTACAATCTACACTACAATTTTCCAATGATGATGTTCTTGATGTAATAACAACAAGAAATGCTGATTGTTTAATAACAACTCCAACCATTTTTTGTTGTTCCAT